GGATGTATCTATGTCCCAGGGAGATTATCAAGGGGCACCACTTAGCAAGGGCCATGTATATTAGTCACCAAAGGACATGTGATGAGAGGACAAGGTGGTGAGACCTCAATAATCCATCTAACCTCCATTTTCCCATGGGACATATACTAGTATATAGCAACTGAAATCCTGTTGCTTAGTGTAGTAAGTTGCTTTAGAGTAGGCTCACTTGAATCAATGGGGTTTTAGAGAGTCAACTCCTCTCTTAAGTTCCACTCATTCAGATGGGCAAAATGGGGACTTCTGAATATCGGGAGTACCCAAGCTTAAACACGTGGGGAACAATGGGCTTAAATAGTCCTGAATGGCCAATCATTAATATGCACTAACTCTTCTATAACACAGAGCACAGTGCAATACCAGACCAGAATAATGGGGCAATGCAATGGGTAACAAAAATTGTGGTCATTACTAGATTTAAGCAAGTAGGGCAATTCTTAGGCATTACAGGGCATCCTGGTTGGGATCCAAAGAATCCTCTTTCTGCACACCCAAGAAGAAGTGGCTTATTAGGAGCTGCAAAGTCTATGGCAAACTTTGTTACTCTTTATTACTAAATATCTTGGTGAATGAAAGGCGTCATAATCTAAACATTCTGCAAAAGGCCTTGTCCTGAAGTCTCTTATGATGGATTTTTGTCAGCTGGGAATGAGCTCTGTGCAGTTGGGATAGTTACTTGCAGTTCCATCTGGTGTGCACAGACAGTTCAGGCTCCTGTTGTCCTCCAGATAAAGGTTGAGGGATGAAGGGCACAGCTGCATTGAGCAGACAGCTGCTGGTCATCACACCCTTCTAGGCCTTTAGGATCCCAGCACTGGAAGGAGGGACTGAATGGTATCACATTTGTAACATCTGTTTATTTTGCTGCTGGCAAATTGCCATTGCCTAATAATCCAAGCAGCATACAGTGGTGCCTTGCAGGACGAATGCCTCGCGGCACAAAAAACCTGCTAGACAAATGGGTCTGGGTAGGGTTTTGGTGCCTCGCAAGACGAACGTTCCTATGGCCCAGCTTCGCAAGATGAAGCAGGGCCCACTTTGCTGTGGGGGGTGGGGGTGCCTCCACCCCCACCCAGCATCACTTTCAGAGGTCCCCCTTTCAGAGGTCCCCCGCCAGTCTTACCAGCACTATCGGAGCCCGGACCCAGGAGGGAGGCGGCAGCCATTTTGTTCTCTTCTCTACTCCCTCCCCACCTCACAGCTGATCAGCGCTGGGTCTTAGAGGCTTCCTCGGGCTTGCCCAGCACCGAAAAGAGCTGGAAATTAAAAAAATGTGATTTCCCCCTGCCCCCAGGGAAGCCTCTGAAAGCCTCTGAAATTGTGATTTCCCCCTTCCCCCGGGGAAGCCTCTGAAAGGCGGGGAGAGCTATTTCCAGCTCTTTTCAGTGCTGGACAAGCCCAGGGAAAGCTTCTAAGACCCAACGCCGATCAGCTGTGAGGCGTGGAGGGGGGGCGGGAGTGGAGAAGAGTACAAAATGGCTGCTGCCTCCCTGCTGGGTCTGGGCTCTCAGCTGTTTGGCACTCTTTTTCCTGCTTTTCAGGGCTACCCAGGCACTGTGAGGAGCCGGGCTCAGTCTACTGTACCTGGTAAATGACTTTATTTTAATTTTTTTTGTTTTGGACTTTTTTCCCCATAGGAACACATTAATTAAATTTCAATGCATCCTATGGGAAACCGTGCCTTGCAAGACAAACTTTTCACTAGACAGCATTAACCATGGAACGGATTAATTTCGTCTTGCGAGGCACCACTGTATGATAAAAACATGCACAGGCATACTGACAGCCTCCAAAAAATTAAGTATTTATCACTTATAATGTTAAAAGAGCAGAACAAGATTTCAATCTCAATACCTTTTCATGTTGCAGCAGTTTTCACACTGGCATTTCCAGATAAAAGACTCCTCTTACTGGCAGTTAGAAAACAGTGTGCAACTAACGGTTATTCCATTTCTCCCCTCCATGACGGATTTTCCACAACGAGAAAACAAGGCAGAAAAAGTGGAAGAAAAACTAGATTGTGTTATTAGTGGAGAAATAAGCCAAAGATTCTGTACAATTTAGTGACTGAGTCTTGGACAATGGTGTGACAATAGCCCTGATTGGAGCTGCGTGTGTTGTGTTAAATCAGTACAAAGTGGGGAGTTTTAGAGAACATTTTTGGGAAGGCATTTAGAAACATGGGGGGGGGGACTTTGTATGACCTTTAACTTATAGAATAGGATGGAGTCTGTGCAAAGAAACAACAGCTCATCTAATAGCAAATAAATGTTGGTGTCTTCTGGGTAAAGAACCAAAGGATCCTTGGACTCAGTAGAAGCTGGTGGTTCCAATGCCAGTGGGGCAGTGATTCTTTTGCCGGCTGTAATCTGACTTTAACATGAGCTATCCAAGGTGCTGAACCCTATCACCAAAATAGATTCATCACTTTGGATAATCTGGACAAAAACATGGAGTGAATTGATTGTTCCACTGGCATTGGAGTCACCAGCTTCACTGCTTGTACTTTCCTTCCAAATACATTTTTAAAAGTGTATTTGCCACTTCCAGCAAGCATGGGTCACTAGTTGGCCAGATAAATTGGAGAACATGCTCTTGGCAATTCTGATTTTTTTTTCCCTTTGGCTTTTTTCTTCAACAAGGAATCTCCAAGAAATCAGCTGGGTTGGTGATATCAATTTAGTGTATTTAAGGCACAAAACATGTTGAAATTGTCCTGCATAGGTTTCGATAAGTCCTCACAGGAACTTAAGGCAACTAAGTTTCCTGCAGATTATGTAAACTAAACTTTGCTGGTGCCAAGTCTAAATTCAGAGGAAATAAGAAAACTATGCTTAATCCATGTGTTTAGAATTTGAAGGGGGGCAAAGGGGGAAATCTGCTGAGCAAAATCATGCACTAATCACAGGCACGCTAGGAGAAAAGCCACGTTTGCCAGACACAGAATGATACTCTATAGGTTTTGTGCCAAAACAAAACAAACAAGAGAGATGTAGGGGAGGTCCTTTGGATGGGTAAGGGTGGGACTTGATCAGCCAGGGGGCAGAACCAGACAACTCTCTCACTGTGACTATCCTTCGATCATGCCATATGGAGCAGAGGGAAGCGCAAAGAGAAAGAAAGAAGCAACATGCAACAAGAGAGGGTATGTGCTGCTTTCCATATGGTTTCAGGTTTTGTTTTGTTTTTTTGCAGTGTGCACGCATCAAATCGGGGATGAATTAGCAGCAGCTTTTCTCAGCAATGACCCACTGCAAACGATCAGTCATTTGCTTCGGACTCCAGCCAATTTTATTTGCTTAAAGATTTGAGCAGGCAATGTTTCTATGTCCTGCTTGGTCAATTCATTCTGAAATCATGTTTGGTGACAGAAAAGTTTCCATGCCTTGCGAGAAAACTGAAAAACTATTAATGCATAAGAAGTGCAGTTGGAATTACTTAATGTGTGCCATATTAAGTAATGCATCTGTTTAGTAATCAGTCAGTTTATTTTCTCATTAATCCAAAAAAAATCTCAGGATGAGTCTGTTTTGGCAAAAGATGTAAACCTGAAATTCTCTCCTAAAATCCTCACATTCTGCTGAGGATAGGGCAGATTCTGTGGTATATTCTCTTTTAAAAGGTAAAGCAGCTATTATGAAAACTAATTTTATGGTTTGGGCAATGGTGACAGAGTTTACTTGTGTTTTTATGTCAAATGCCTGGATTATTTTGCTTCTTTTTTGTAATGCACCTGAGGGTTAACTTGATCAGTATCTGTAGGAGAAAGTAATTTTTCAAAACAACAAAAAGAGGTTCCCAAAGAATTTTGTCATAATACACACCAAATGGAGACAGTGGAAATGTTAATCTTGTATTTGGGTGGAAAAGATTAAAAGGCCCTGTCTTTCTGCCTGTCTGCAAAAGAATAGGGACTCATTGGGTCTGATGTTTGCAATCCAGCTGGGAAAATAGAAAATATATAGATAGCAACCCACCAGAGTCTACTAGGTTTTCATAAAGGAAATCTGCCTATTCACTTAGTTACAAACAAAACAAAACAAAAACCCAACAAAATGCCAGTACCTACATATCGGTTACTCTGTCTCTGTATACATACACACAAATCTGCTTGAGGTTATAACTATGCAATAAATAATAAATAAAAGCTATATCCTTCCCAAGCCTCAAATGTATTGGTTTCTACAAAAATTAATGAATGGATTTACATACCTGACACAGCACTCACTTAGTATAATGGATAATGTTTCCATATCTTTGTTGTGAGTCTCAGTTTTGACAGAAACTTGAGAGAAAGAAATACATCAGTTGAAATACATCACACTGAGCACATGCTGGCCTTGCTCTTTAACATGAAGACAATTTACATGACAGCAAACCCAGGCGTGCCCTAAGGAGACTTTGTCAAAACCAGTTTCCTAACAGACATACTGCAGTTCCCTTTTCGGTATCTCCTTGAAACAATACTATCTGAGAAACATCTCTTAAACCAGACTGAATTTGGGGAGTGAGGGCGGGGGAGGAAGTGTTGTTAGAGATGATACCTATTTCATTTCTTTGTGCTGCTGTAAATTTTTTAAACCTTAAGCAGTGTATTGAGCTGTTATGAAATGACATCCTAGTTGTGGTATCCTAGTGTGTAAATAGCACACGTTTTGTGCCCTAACTTCCTTTGTTTTAGCAATTCAACTCAAATTATTCTCTCCCTTCCAAGCCTTCATCTCTTCTATCAGCTATTACTTGAGACTGCTATTATCTAAGTATCTTCTCCTGATTTAATTTCAGAATCCAGGTAACAGGTGACGGACTGACTGCACACAGTGCTGGTGCAGATGATTTCCACGATAATGCTTGACTTTTTACTGGGTGGCTGGAGAGCACAACAGTCAGAGGGGATATGCAATACCCTTTATGATTTTAAATATTGATCACGGTGAGCAATACTCCTACTTCATTACAGAATGTCATATGGAAATGGTGAAACTGGTGGCCACCCAATGTATAACCTTTGCAGTAGGATTCAGTGTTCTGACTCCCTAGTGGGGAACATGAGTGGACACAGGAAGTCTGCAACCTTACTGGAAGTGCAAACAACTTTAAACAATATGGAATACTCTTCTGTGGCCCTTGATCCTGATTCTTTGGTGACAAATGGATCAAAAATTCCTTCAAACTCCGAAGAGGAAAACTCGCAGGATTCTGCTTTGCAGATAAACAGTGAATCGATGCCAGGGAGTGAAATCCGCCGAACTCATGCGAAGTGCTTTTATGGCCCATACTTAACCAAAACTAGTATGCAGGGAGATGTATACAACTTTCTGGAACGGCCCAGTGGATGGAAGTGTTTCATTTATCACTTCACAGTGTAAGTACTGAAATTTTTGTATTAAGATTTTTGTATTACACTAATTTTGAAGAGCACATGAAGTGTTTTTCCAGAAAGTGATCCATTGGCTTTAAGCCTTCCAAATATATTCTCTGTGAATGGAGATCAGAGCAGATGCTACTACCAAAATAAACCAGGAATATGGGAACATACTCATCTATCTGGAAAGTTTTGGTAAACCTAGCTAAATTTTTGGCTTTCCTTTCAATTTCTTAAATGTTTTGCTTCGTGTGGAATATCAAACATCACTTTGCATTTTGTTTTAAGTGCTGTTTTGTTGGTCATTCTCAAATGTATGCACTTAAAGATTTGCTTTATCCAGGAGAACTTGAAGAGAGACTAAAATCTGGCCTGTGGTGGAAAATACTTCAGTTCAACGTTTACTTAACTTAGTTAAACTGCTATTGTTTCAGTGTCAGTGTGTGCATACATGAATGCATGCAGGCATAAACTTTTCATCTAACACATGGGGATAGTATGAAAATATCAGATAGGCTGTCAGGAGTATTAGGAAAGTGCACAAGGAATTATTTTGCATTTAGAAAATAGTATTAAAATGCTAAGCATTGTTGCAGATTCATGCAAACACCTGAATGGAAAGTATGGTTGCAGCTACATGGTCAAATACTGTTGGATTTGCTGCAGGTGTAAAATGGATGAAATTAAAAAAAAATTACAGATCACATGATAGAAAATGCAAATTTGAATCTGTCCGGCCCTTTTTGCTCCCAGTGTGGGTCCCCCCCTCCCTGCTTATGGGGGGGTTTCTCCTTTTTTAAAGACAGAATGATTCAGACTTTTCCCTGTGTGATCAGTTATTTCGTCCCAATAAGAATGAGTGTGTGTGTGATAGTGGATGGTATCCTGGTGACATACTAAGCTGAGGATGATGTTTTGGACAGTGAGAACACATGCAACTTTTCCCCCTATTCACTCTGAAGTACTTTTTATTTTTTTAAAAACGAATGACTATGTCAGCACTAGATCACTTTATTACTATACTGTACTGATGTATTAGTTTAGTGCTACTTCACATTTGCATGGACAAAAAAGGATAAAAATTAATATGAAATAGAAACAACGCTGATGAGCAACATCAAACTACTATGCTTCCTTGGTGTGTATGTATATGTTAGTACATTATAGAGACCTTTAGCAAACTGTCCCTTTCCCCTTGTGCCATGAAACACTTTAAACAACCCACCGGCTTTATAGTGAATCATAAAAGGAGAGCCACAGATAGGCAGAAGGTGGAAAGAATTGAAGTGGGGCTGCAGGCTGTGGCACAGGTCAAACGGCATCAGATTGAGGGGCCAGTGTGGACACTGGCTCTGAAACAATGTGCTGTTGCTGTGTGATCGGGTAATGCAAACAGAATTTAAAAAATTAGGCTTGCTGGTGTAATCACTGGCTTAGGTTTTTATTTAAATATGACAGAACCTTATTGAATTAGAAATGGAATGTTGTATATTATTGGACGTGTTTTGGTTTGACTGAACCTTGTTGAATTACAAATAGCATGCTGTATATTATTGGAAAGGCTTTGTTTTAAAACTTTGAGAAATTTGTGGGAGTTATGATTCAATCAGTTTGGCGTTGCATACTTAACTGAATTAGTGTCTCAGCCATAAACATAATTACAGACTGTCGTGTCTTTTGGATAATTCAGATGGTCCCAGTTTTGATTCCCAGCATCTTTGAAAGATCTCTAGGCTGAGATGAAGCTGAATGTTGAAGGCCTGTTCCCTGTAAGAGTAGGTGGTACTGGGCTCCATAGCCCAATAGATTGACTGAATACAAGGTGGAAATAGGACTGCTGGTTCTTCTCTGCAAACAGTGTACTGAAACTGAAATACAGTGTTACTCCCCTCTTTTCATTGGTTATTTAAAATAACTTTTAAACTCCAAGAGGCTTACATAGCAAAACAAAGCATCAGAAGAATTGGAAGCGTCTCTCTGGTTAAGCTTGCAACCTGATGTGAATGAACATGGGTCAAAAAATTTAAGGCAACAAAACCATGGTGGGACACTTGAGATTCTCCACCCCATTATAACTCCATTATAAGATTTTAGGAAAGCCCTGCAGACCTGTTTGTTTTATAGGACTGTGTGTGTGTGTTTAGTCGTTTAGTCGTGTCCGACTCTTCGTGACCCCATGGACCAGAGCACGCCAGGCCCTCCTGTCTTCTACTGCCTCCCGGAGTTGTGTCAGGTTCATGTTGGTTGCTTCGCAGACACTGTCCAGCCATCTCATCCTCGGTCGTCCCCTTCTCCTCTTGCCATCACACCGTCCTACCATCAAGGTTTTTTCCAAGGACTCTTTTCTTCGCATGAGATGGCCAAAGGACTAAACCTCCCCTATGAATCCTGACTGTTGACCATACTGACTGAATGGTCATGCTGATTTTGGAATCTAACAACATCTGGAGGCCATAGGTTGCTTTCTGTCCATAAAACGGTGAAACCTGCATTTTAAATTGATGAGAAATTCACTGGACCAACCTGTTCCTCCATCTCTCTCAAATATTTGAGTGACAACTGCATAAGATCTTTCCCGGGATAGGATCCCTGGTATACGAAGCAGGACAGGGCCTTCCTAGAAAGGCATTCCATATGTTAAAGCAACATCTAAGGATAGGCCAGTTAGGGGTTGACTTTGATTTAATGAATGATGTGTCATGGTCCTTGCCTTGCAATACTGTGTGGTGAGATTACTGATCTACTGTGCTCAAACATCTTCAACAGTAATTAGACTTGAGTGTTACCATGGCTTCTAGTGTTATTTTGTTTGAATAGTTTCTCCAGTTGTAGAACACGTGGCCTAAAATGAGCACATTTTGATCTTTAAAACATTAAGATGTGGGACTCAACAGATATATTAAAGAATTACAAGAAAAAACAATGTTCTTAGAAAGCAAATCACTCAATGGCTCAAACCTGATGAAAAGTGTTGGTTTTCTCTGCACAGTAATGTCAATGAATAATTATGGTAGGGAACTGATGTACTTCCTTTTTCTGTAATGTTTTCTTGATGGTCCTCTTTCAACTTTTCTTTCAAAAAGCTAGTAGAAAATGACTGCCAAACAATGACAAAAAGCTGAGATTAACAGAAGCCCAAAATGCTCTCCTAAACCCTAGCTATTACAACATCCAACCATCTTGATAGGTCTACACTTCTACCTTCAACAATGCTGGGGGTAGGGTTGCCAAACCCTTTGTAGATCAAAATCCGTGCATGGCTCTTATGTCCCCGAAACGTCAGTACAAAGCAAAAACAGTTTATTTCACACATGCACACACACCCCTCCCTCCCCATCTGTGTCAGCCTTCTGGAATGTGCTAACACCCTCCCTGACTACCACATGGAGCTCCCATAGCAGAAGGGGCTGGCCGAGATACCACCATAACAGCAGGGGCCACCACACTGCCAACAACATCAGGGCCCTAGTTGAGTCTGATACCCATCTTTCGCAGGACACTTTCTGGAGACAAACAGTTGCACAGTATTTATTTGTTTGTTTATTTATTTTGCGAAAATGTATATAACTAAAATTGCGCTGCTCAGATCCATGCAATTCAAGGGAGAAGTCTGTATATGGCTCTATTTGAACTTAATGCAGAGAGTAGCATTTATAGAAGTCCACAAAACTTAATGAAATGAGTATACAGGATCAGCCTGCAATTAAATATGGTTAGATTTCATAGACACCAGAAACTATAATGCAGCAAATAGTGTCTTTCTATAGTAGACAGTAGCAAGGAGAGTATTAAATCAGAAGAACAGGAATTGCTTAAATGTTCTTTCTTAGACATCTAAATTAACCCTCAAAGATTGGTAAAAATATTTATTATCATAAATAATTATTATCAGGACACATAAAACTTACCTTTTATTATTGTCATTAGTGTTTGGTTTAAACATGCTGGCATATATCCAGGGAAATGTAATTGCACGAGGGCAAGGCCTTTTGCGTTAGCGGCTGTGTATTTTCACATTTAGTGCAAGTGTGGTGTCCAGTACAGGTTTTGTTGTACAAGCAGCTGCACAGCTAGCTGTGCAAAGAGTTGTACAACAGTTGCATTACCACATGTACTATGGTAACTCAATGCTACTACAAAATCAGGGATTTTTCATTCTTCATCATTACATTGGGTTTAGTCCACTGTCAGCCCAGAAGTTAAAAGGTTATTCCAGTTTTATGCAAAATGTCTTAGTCTGTACCCAGGTAGTATTTATTTTTGAAAAGTAAGGGAAAAAACAGCTAAATTCTTCCCCCTCCTTAAAATTCTATTTATACCTTCTTGGTATCAAACTGAGTGGTAAACAGTGGGGCTTCTGCTTAAGTGCACATAGGATTGTGTTATATGAGAATTAATTGCTGCAGTCAACAGCACTAGCATGTGGATGACGTTTACCACTATCAGTCAAAAGGCATTGTACAGCTATTCTGCTGTTCTCCTTAATGGAGTTTTGCAGAAAAGATAACAGACACGAGAAGCAGTGCGAAAACACTGGAAGGTGACAAGAACAAGTAGAAGATATTATCATCTGGACTCCCTTCCGCTCCCCATAAAAGCCCATTAATGATAGCATAATAAAGGTCTTGCCTGGAAGCAGTCCAGGTGATACAAGCCTTATCATATCGCTGCTTCTTGGCGCATTTGGTCTAAGTGTGGGGTGATGACGGGAGGCAGAAGGATAAATATGAGGCTTCCTGAGAGATTGAACCCGAGCTTGTTTTTTTGGAAAACAGCCTTCAAGTTCCTGCAAGGAAGGGGAGATCATTGCTACCACTCCCCAAGGCAAAATATTGGTTTAATATGAGAATGAGGAGCTATCCCTGTGCAACAGGGCGGAAAAACTTTTTAAATTTCCAAGGCCTGTTTTCCCACCTGCCAAACTGTCAAGAAGTGACTCCCCCTCTGCCCCCCCAGTGCTTTTAAGGGCCTGAAACAAGAAGTAGGGAGCAGTGTATTTC